TTATCCACTCACAGACAGTTGGTAAGGCCTCATTGCTATCAGGGGACTCCATTTCATTTTAGTTAGTAGCTTTAGGAGGTGTCGTGGATTTTGTCCCGACTTCCATCCCGTATTGTTAGAGGCTTCATAGACAAATTGAAATAGATGTTTCCAGTATTTATTTCAAGATGTTTTGTTTAACTCATGGTTCATGTTAAGTATTTTGCAAACGCAGTATTTTAAGACGTTTATAAATGTCTAATTGTCCATCTATAGAAGCTTTCACATAATGTTTAATGTCATGTAAGTCATGTAGCCAGGACAAGGGTTCGCTTAAGGATTAGAAATGGTTCTCGAGTGCCAGTCACGTCCAGGATGTAGACCCGGGGAGTGACAAACTTGATAATTTGAGAATAAATTTGAAAAACAAAAAATTATAAAAGTGAAAACGGTGTTTTGGATATTTTCAACTTGTATTTGAAACTGGTATAGTCAACTGATTTTCAAATAAAATGAAAAAAATGAAAATTTTCACCTCCAAACATATCCTAAGAAAGAATGAATGAAATAGCATTAAAACTTGAATATACCACAACATTTGTGTTGTTATAAAACTTTTCGAAGTTATAGTTCGAACACGCCATAACATGTGTAGGTATGATTATAAAACCTTGTTACTAAAATCAAAATAAAAAAATCTAAGTTAATTACTTTCGAACTTAAAAAGTTATAACAACAATAATAACATATTCAATGTGGTTTCATAAAATAAGGTCTGGGAGGGTAAATTATACACATACCTTATTTTTACCTTAGAGGTAAAGTAAAGAGATTGTTTCCGATAGAACCCCAACTCAAGCCAAAAATAATCTAGGAAAAGACATAATGAAAGTACAATTAACCATAGATAGTAACAAAGCAACAAATTGAAACATAATAATATTACAACAAAAATACTACTACAAACAAACCACGAAATAATATATACTAACAAAAATCAAAGAATAAGAAAGTTTAAGAGTAGTCCAACGACTACTAGTAAGAACAACAAGACAAAGCACTCCGACCTACTAATATGAACACCCTTCTACCTACTAACGTTCTATCATAATTCTAATCTTCATATGTTCCTATCTTAAGTCATATCCTCGATAAGCTACAATAACAATATATCCCGCCTAATCACATCTCCCTATCATTCCTTGAGTTAAATCTTAGAAAAGATCTAAATTTCATTAATCATTCATATTGTTATTCTCTGTAATTTAAATTATTATAAAAAAATCTTTTTTTCCTCCAAAATTCCACTCATCCGGATACATAGCTTCTCAACTCTCAAATGTACGTTTCTCTCTTCCAATTTTCACTCCTTCAATCTTTTCCTATTTTAACTCCCTCAATCTCAGTAGTTATTTCCTTCATTACAATTTTGAAATTCAAATTTTTCTCTCTCCAGTCAATCGATTTCAACTTCCTCAATAGGTGTTTTTTCTTCTTCTCCAACTTACTGTTCATCACTTTTTGTTCTAATTTTTTTTTCAATTTCAACGTCCTGATACATATGGTTGGTGCTCCTTCTTTTAGTATTGGTATTATCCAGTTAACTTCACCTAATATTAATTACCCAATTAGTCAAAGTAGGATACATCTTCGACTTCAAAATTGACTGTAGAAGAACGCCTAGATGAAGGGGGGAGAAAGGTCGAGTTGTTTGTGGCTCTGATAAGGGCTTTAGGTCGAGATCTATGGGTGACGCTATTGTTGAAAGTGGAAAAAAAAATGCGGTTGATATAGAGCAAAGGAGAAAGTGTAGAAAGATTCCTTCTTCATCATTTTTTATTTTTGCTTTCAGCAGATCAGGTTGTTGATTTTTTTTTCGATTTTTTTTATTCATCTTTTTTTTATACATATGAGTTCAGATTTTTAATGTATCAGTTGTTTTGTTTCTTAAATTAATGTATAATAATGTCTTCGTTTCAACATTATGATACATTACGCACAATGTATCATGTTCAAATATTAGTTTTGATACATAATCTTAATTTATTGAAACACAAATTAGTATGTATCATGATCATAGTTATGTACTTGATACATAACCATTACAAATTTTGTTATCTTTTACTACTAGATGCATACACCCAAACTTATTCAACTAGAAGGTTATGTATCTGTACACATTATCAATTATTATTGTTGAAACATAAACACTATTGTTTTCATAGCAATATTTGTTTGTATCAACTCACCACTGTGTTATGTATAATACACAAAAAAAAATGATACTGAAAACAATTACTTGTATAATGTTTCCTTTATAACATATAGTATTCTCAAACAAAATAAGATACATAAATAGCTATTGTTTTCGATTTTTTTGAATCTCTTACGATTTGAGAGAGATTTAAGAGAAGAAAATTTGAAATTTGAATTACTTGAAGTTGTTACAATTTAGGAGAGACTGACATCAATTGATTTGAGTGATTAGGGGAATGACATTTAATTTCCTTCTTAATCTCAACAAACAAGTTGTCTAATGTATCCGTTATGTAACCAGCTAAATGGGATGTACCAAGATGACACAAATTTGAAGAGATTATTGTAAATTAGAAAAAGATAGAGACAGAATGTAATTTGCTCCTTGCACTATGAAATTCTTTTAAAAATTACACTATTTAGCCAGTTAGGCCCAAATTCAACGGGCTGCTATCTGAAATATTTGGCCCTTTTGTATGTGCGTCGTATACCATCTTCGGCATACTTACCAGGTGGTTTGGTTCAATTTTTGAATTTAACGGTTTGACCGATTTCTATGTGTTAAACCACTACAAAATCAAGAAGATTACCTTTGGTTAGTGGTTGAGTTATCAGTAAGATACTAAAGAGAGCAAGATATAACTTTCACTGGAAATTAAATAGGCGATCACCAAGTTGAGCATAAATCAACCAGAAGAAGAATTCTTCTGCAGTATCACCATATCTCATCTCAGAACTTACTGAGTTTTGTCCAAAATCAACTTGCATATCAAAAAAACAACTGCCGAATCAGTTTACAATTATCACAATATAGAGGATTCGAAGAACTGTTCTTGAACATCCAGATTATAGTGAAGAAGCAAACAAGCACCTCTTACTACTAAGCGGAGAGGTTTTGAGTTCAATCTCATGCTAAAGCGTTTCAACAAATGTAACACCGAGTCCTACTACTATGAGAATTGCCAACTCAGCATAGCGCAAACGAGAAACTACAAGGAGAGCATAGCCTAGCTAGAAATTTTGAACAATGATACTTAAGCAGACAGTTCATCCAGCTATTTGCAAATAGGCAGGGCGACATTACATGATAAGTGGGTAAAACGTAGAACTGTTACGATTCTTAAAAAAAAAGGTGGGTAAAACCCAGAAACATGTCCTAGTAGACCTTATATAAACTCTCTCAGTGGTGCTCCAAATTCAGAAACAAATGGCTTCCAATTTGCTTGTATCAACAAATAGAAAGACAGATATTGGCACCAACGACAATAATTTTTTTAAAATTGGTACACCACACACATCTTTTTCAATGTATAACTCAGTTAGACAGCATAAGACACCAAACATTCGAACTCATCAAGCAATATAAGTGAGAGTTCATTTTCACATATTGTCTGGAGATTGGGGTCCTTTCAACCCTGGGATCTTGGCCCTCCTTGATCCATGCGTTAATAACAAATATCACTGACCACAGGGAAATCCAGATTACACATGATATTTGCAACCCCTGTCAGTCAACGTACTAACAAACTTACTGCAAAGCCCGTCTCTGTCTACTCCTTTGCCCAAACCCATTCATCTTTCCCAAAGGCCCCGAAAATAAAACGAGCAAAAAAAGGGTCAAAACACTTCCCTAACATAACTCTAATGATCAAATATAAAGGTCTGCCGTGAACTGGCAATTAAAGCATTGAAATTCTAAGGCAGAGACAGATGTTAGAGGTAAGATTGAGTGATGCTATTGCTGTTTGCTGAGATGATGATGGAAGATATCAATCAGAGCAGCATATTTGATGAGCCATGAACAATCATATTACAAGTTTAAGTTGATGAAGACGCTTTAAAAATAATGCTTTTTAAAATTGTGATTGTGGTGGCAAACAAAGATCATTGGTATTAGAGGTGATGCAAGGTGGATGAGCAGCAATAAACAGAGTGGACTGGTTTGAAGACAAATTATGCTGGGATTAGTTATGTATGGAATAGTTCTTATTGAGTGTTTCGTTTGTTGTATTACAACATGAATTCCATAATTTCTAAGAAAGAGTTGCTTGTTTATAAAAAAAAACTCCACCTTATCTAGTAGAAAAAGGATTTGTGTAACCTCAAGGGTATTTATGTCATGTTTAGTTTTATTCCGGGATAACTAATCCCGGTACTATTAATCCATCCCCTGACAGTGAAAACTTATCCTGGTACTAATTACTAATCATTGTATAACTTATCCCAGGATTAGTAACAAAACAAGGGATAAGGCAGTACCAATTTTTTTATCTGAGGACTACCTATGCTTGTCCAACATACCAAACGACCCCTTAATTGTATTAGACACAACACGTACACTATAACAAAAGTCTAAAGAAAAAATATTCTGTAAGTTCCCTCAACTCAAACAAAGTTACTAACCTTAACTTAAATAACTCCTTGTAAAGAAACTGGTAGCAAACCTGCAACAGAATTGGAAATCACAATTCTGGTGCATGGATCATGTTGGCAGACACTTAATACTTCCATAGACATAATTACAAAGTCCTATTGTCAGAGTTACCCGTTAGTGAGCAGTAGCATTATCCCATGGAACTAGTTGACATACACACGAGCCGATGCAGACACCTTGGCTATCAAAAAAAAAAATTACGAAGTCCTACCCGAAACACACAGATAATACAGTGTCAGCTTCCAAGTTATCATCTTTAACACAAGGAGTAGTGCATTGCACATCACATTAACATAAAACCATCATAATTTTCATATTTGTTCGATGGAATAACATGGAGGGTGCACTCCTCCATTACGCTGTCTACAGTTATTTAGTAATATTCTTCACATTTCAATACTAATATAAACAAAAGCAAAGTCACAGTAATTCAACACATTTGTTCATCAAATTTTGAAGCATCAATAACAAATGCATTCAACAAACAGCGGAAATGATTAAACTTTCCCCTATTAACCGAACACTTACACATAGAGACCACCTTTCATACCACTTCCTTAGCCGGAGCAGCAGGCTTCTTCAAATCATCATCCACAACTTTAGTCGGAATCGCCACGTATCCCATCTTCTTAGCACTGCTAACATCATAATCACCATTACCGTCCTCGAAATCATCATCAGATTCCTCAAACTCGAAGCGATTAGGCCAGAAAAGCGACCAGATCAAATACATAGTCGCAGCAGTTAACGCACCACAACCGACACCGAAAAGCAAAGCTCCAACAACCCTCATAATATCCTTGGTCCGATCACGGATTGAGCTCGTCACCGACGAGTAAAATTCCACCGGCATCATCGACGAAGATCGGCTCTCCAATTCCTCTCCATCTTCCACATGTTCAACAGCGTCCTCTCGTTCAAAGAAAACCGGGTCGGGTCCACGGATTAAAAACGGGTCGGATCTTCGGAAGAAAACTGATGGCCTAAGAAGTCCGAATTTCGGAGCATCATCACGGAAACCGGAGGTAGTGACGACGAAAGCACGGAATCGAGGAGAAATAGAGGGGTTACGGAGGAAGAAATTGGGGTTAGGGTTAGGGTTTCGAGAAATAGTTGTGGGGATCTGGTAATAGGAAGTGGAGGTGATGAAGAATAGGGTTTTGCATGGCCGGCCGACGGCGGAGACGGCGAGGAGAGAGAAAGCGAGAAGTAGAAGCGCGAAATTCGAGGACGCCATTGACGCTTAGAGAGAGAAAGAAAGAGACGATGAGGAAATTAACAATGACAATTATGGCTATAGATGAAAAAATTGGGAGGAAAAATAGTTAATTTAATTTAATTTAATAATTAAACACTTTTTTTGGATTTGGATTTAAAAGTCAAATTGAACTACCAACAAACTTCCAAATTATTATCCAAGAAACAAAACAAAAAACTTCAAATTAGTTACCATTTGTTGGGAAAAAAGAACAAAAAACAAATATGGTTTAGTTTAGTCGGTTTAGTTTGATTTTATGTAGATAAAATCTTAGAAATTGTAAACATAATAGACATAATAAGGCTTTATAGCTATAGTTTTGATGATTGTGCTCTATAGTTATAGTTTTGTTTGCTATGGAGGCTGCGGTTTGTATATTTATGCACATTTGTATATTTCGCTTGCTAATATAACAATAGAGTATTGAGTAAGTATATGCAAATTTTATATTTATACATTTAAGAATTTTCAGAACTTCGTTTGTATATTTCGCTTGTCAATATATTTATTAGAATTTTTTCATAAATTGTATATAAATACCTAGGGTAAGCATATACAAAATTCTGGATTTATTCAATTAAGAACTGAATTATACAAATTCTGAATTTGTACGAATCAGGCGAATAACAAGATTAGGCAAAATTATAGATGTGAACTACAAGTTCCCTAAACATTAGCTATAACATTTAATATGGTTTATAAGTTTTTGTTTTTTAAATACACTAAATCAATAAAAAAAAAATATTAATTTTTGATTTATTGATTTTTGATCCTTAACGGTTCGGCTTCGGTTTAACCAATAACAAAATGCCTATAAAATAAAATAATTACTCCAATAATCTGCGCGACAAGACAATAGTGTAACTTTATGAAATGCTCATAAAATAGAAACAATATGAACTAAAATTAAAAGAACGGAACTATATAAGTGCAACACAAATAAAAGAACCAGGACAATTATGTGAATTTGCTAAATGGCAAATATAGTAACCAATAAGGTATTGATATTAATATTTAATATTTATGTAGGGGTAAAGTAGCAAATTACTCTTGTCTTAATGGGTTATTTATTTACCTAATAATTCAAAATTAAAAAATCAATATCGAACCAATAACCTGATTATTTTTGTTTATAAAATCATTAAATATGTATTCACCCAATTGCAATAACCCAATAATATTTTTTTATTCGATTTGTTGGTCAACTAGGTATTATATCAAAGGTATAAATTAATCGTTTCATATTTTTTGAATATAAAAGAATTTTTAGTTCAAATTCAATTAAATAGATCAAAATTCATATTTGAATTCATCTTATTATTCACACTGAACTAATTTCTAACAAATAAAATATACTATTACATGAAGGAAAGTAAAGTACTTTAAAAATAATGAAAAACAAAGTTGATCATTTTGTGTAATTTACACACAATACATATGTGGAACATCGTAGATTGAAGATAGAGAACTATTTTTAAAATTTTATATTTAAAATTTGTTTTTCTTCAATTATACTTAAAAAGATACTTAATAACATAACGTTTATAATGTGAAACTAATAATACTAAAAAAGAACGAAATTCAACCGATAATAACATGAATAGCTCAAATAGATCGTAAGAAGTGTAAAAATTATTTGATAAAATATGGAAATTATAATGTCTAAAACGTAAAAATGAGCATATGTAAGTTATGCTAAATTTAAATTGAAGTAAAAATATGTTGTAGTGTAGATTTAGTACTTAATACTCTTTGTCAATGTCCGTTATTTAACTTGAAATAAGAAACGTTTAGGTGCCTCATTGGCTCTTTAACTTATGTCTTAGCAGTTATGTGAGAAAGACTTTAAGAAGAATTAAGAAAAACACTATTTCAAATATGAAATAAAAAGAATAATCTCGAGCAAGAGTTTCATGAAATAAAAAAATTATGGATTTATATAGACAAAAATGAAGGAATCTTTAAAGAAAATATAAATATTTCTTTGTGCAATAGTATTTTTAAACTTTTGTTAGTAGTCTGTATTATTACACACAAAGTAACAATAACTAATTGCATCTAAACAAAAATACAAACTTGCAATAATAAAATATTATAAAGATTCAAACTAAGGAAGTTACATAGAGAAAACACAAACAAACACATCTTCATTGGGACCTTATCATAAGAAAATAGATAAAAATAAGAATACAGAATCAGTGCCCACTTTTTTGAGCTCTTTTTCGGCACCCTCTTTGACAAACTAATCAACATTCAAGAGTCATCTTCACCATGTAAAGTTAAAACATGAATTTTATAATATTATAATAATATTACAAAGAACAATGAAATATAAAAAATAACTTTGAGTTGGGATTTCATGAAACAAAAAACTTGTGAATTTATATTGATAAAAATGGAGAGAAATCATAAAGTATCTTAAATTTTATAATTTAATAGTTGGAGGTTATAAATATGAAAACTTAAAAGTCATGAAATTAATGATATTATTAAGAATAGAAGTTTAATAGATTAAAGTTATGGAGGTGAAACTTAAAAATTAAATAAAGAAGATTAAGAAATAAATCTATATTATATAAAGATATAAATTTCTTGAATTGAATAAATAATAAAAAGAAGTAAAATAAAGAACAAAAAAAGGAAAAGACTATAAAATAAATAGATAAAACCCATAAAATTTAACTTTCGTGAATAATTTGTTGGAATTCTTTTTAAATCAAATGAAAAGGTTTGTAATAATTGATGAGAAATTAATAAATATTATAGGAAAGAGAATAATAACATTCATGACAAAATAAATTAAATATGGCCATTGATGAAGATATAATTAAATATGATTATCTTTAATGTTAATTAAATTTGTAGGTGTATTTTTTTGTATTTTAAAATTAAAAAAAGGCCAAAAAAACCCCAAAAAAGATAAATAGGATTGACGCTCTTAGAGAGCATTACCTCACCGTTTTCATATTCAGCTTTATTATTATACTAGTGAAAGTATCCACGCTTCGCGCGGTTATATGAAATATTTATAAGATAATAATATGTAATATTTATATTTAGGTTAATATCGAATATATAAATAATATTAATATTTCTCTTCATCTGCAATATCATACGTTTTTTTCAATTTTTTTAAACATATAAAATATAATGTATTTTTTTGTATATGTATATAGTAGAACAAAATATTCATCGTGGTGAAGTAAATGGAAAAGAGGTAATATGTTGAAATAACAATATATTGTATTACGTTGTAAATATTTTATATGTTTTAATTTCCTCTATCTTTTATAAGAGTACTAATTTTCTATACAAACTCTGATTTCGTAAAAACAAAATTGAAATTTTTATTATGTCTTTATTATTACATTTATTTATTATAATATTTTAAACATTAATTAAATATTATTAAGAATTATGAAAAATGAAACATACAATAGTTATGAATAATATTTAATATTAGAAGTTACAAGTAAGATGAAGAGACATGAGTTATAAATAATTTAAATATATAATTTTATTAGACATTAAATGTATTACTAATTACGCATTGATTTTATTTGTAAAATAAATAAATAAAAATAAGGGGTGAAAATACAAAAAATGAACAAAGAAAATATAATAAGCGGTGACTGCATAAAAATTATAATTACATTTCAAACCAAAAAGAATGATGACAAAAACAGATTGTTACATACGCAAAAAAACAAAATGGCATCATGAAACTAATATTTTATTTTTCAATTACTTTTTTTGCAAGTATAATAAAAATGAAACTCCTAATCATCATAGTTTTTTGTTGTTGAAATATGATAATTATATTAATTTTGCTTCATAACAAAGAAAAAGTAGAATAGTAAAGGATCAAATGATTAGCGTTGACAATACATTTAGCTAAATGATTTATACAAACCAAAATTTAAAAAATTCTATCAAAAGTAACTAAGTTACTAATACAAGTCAAAGTGAAAAAAAAAAATCTAGCAAAATAATCTCTAATTATGCTTCATTTTTTTTCCTTCTACCATATTCCTTTGCAAGTAGATTCGCCACCATATTTTACTCCATATGTCAAACTCTTCATTATGCGACCAACTGAGTGAAAAATATCATATGCCAATTAAAAATAATTATATCAAAAGAAAGAAAGAAATTTAAACTATATGTAATATATTTATATTTTTTTTAAATAGTACTAACAATACTAAATAATAATCGTTTCTTGAAATCAAACAAATATTATAATCAAACTATATTATATCCGAAAAATTAACTATTAGAAAGAGCAATTGCACAGACAACACATTGTTAAGAATTACAGAGGCATTTTTTTTAATCATACTTGCTTAATGAATGATAATACAAACATAAATAAAATATTAAGAAAGCATGTCTAAGTACATAAAAATAAAGAGAAAGACTTGAGAATAAAATATATCTTACCTTCATGTACTTCTTTTTTGTTACTTGTTAGTTAATTCACAAACAAATGTGATAAAGAAGAAAAAATATAATTTTGTATGTGAATCTTCATGAAAATAAATATGAATTTATATATACAAAATAGAGGAAATGAAAAAAAAAATAAAGATTTGCAATGAAATATTTCTTACCTTCATGTACTTATATTTTGTTACAAACCAAACAAATATGATAAAGAAGAGAAAAGATAATTTTGAATGTGAATCTTCATGAAACTAATATGAATTTATAGGCAAAATAGAGGAATACCATAAGATATCATAAACTTACAAATTTAAGTTTGAAGGTTATGGACATAAAAATTATGGGAGTTATGAATATTTATTAAGAGTAAAAATTAAAGAAGGGCAAGTCATGGGTAATAACTCCTTGTGAATAAATTAAAAAAATAAAGAGAAAAATACTTTAAAAAAATATTATCATTTCATGATTAGAAGTGAGACAAACAAATAGAAAAAAGAATGTGGAGAATTTTTTTTATGTTAATATTCCTACATTAATAAATATTTATTTATAATAAATTAAGTAATTTACTTTTACAATACAATAATTAATATATATATATAATA